GGTCTGTATCAAAAATCTTAGACCTAGGACCATTCAGCTCAGAATTATCGATGGTTTACTCAGATTCACGCTCACTCATCTTCTAGGTTTGGGAAAGGAGATTGGCAGTAGCAGGCTCTGTAAGGGAGTAAATAAGACCTCCAACACACACAACACACACACACACACACACACACACGCGGCCACGTGGAACACCTTCAGGATGCATGTTCATGTCAGGTGTTAACAGATGAACTTAGAGTTTTCCACTTATGATCGAACCAGTCATGACTGATTTTTATTTCAGGTATGTTGGGCCAGAATGATTTCAGACTTACTTAATTCAGAATCTTGATATTATATGTTTGTACCTTAAATTAGCAGAAGATGAACTTGAATCCCTGCTCTCTGTCATCTCTGAGTTTATTAGAGACACCGTAGCTTCAGGCATGACACCAAATAGGAGAAATAAGTGGGAAACTGAGGTGTGGCTGAGACAATGCTGTAAAAGTGAAACTCTTTTCATGTTCAAAAACCAGTGGAAACATCAGACTCAGCTGAAATGACCCGACTTTGCAAAACCTTTGTCACCCTGAGCTTAAACTGGTTTTCACAAGTGTAGAATTACAAGAACTCCCACCCACATGTGTTCGTATAGTCTCGTGTCGAGGCATCATGAGTCAGAGGCAGATATTAAATACATAACACACACACAATAAAACCCAAGATTCAGTTTGTGTTGTGTCTTTCGCATGGTGAAGTGCTGCACACGTAGACATCAGCAAAATAGTTTTTGGGAAGTCTCATTTGTCCGGATCTATTTTCAGAAAAAAAACACACTTCTGTCATTTTGAAATTGCATGAGTCAATATCAACCGTGAGAACGACTATGACTCTGTGAATGACACAATCACAAACACTGAGACTTTCCAGCCTGAATCATTTGGGATTCTGTGATTTTGAGTCTTCCTCTGTTTCATTAAATGGCTGCACCACACTGCCACCTACAGGGGAAAAGCAGTCACTCTCACACAGCAGCCTGTAGATTTACACCCTCCACAATGAAGCATGAACATTGGTGATTTTTACTGCTGGATGGTTCTTCTGGTTTTCTGTCATTTTCTCGTAGTTTATTGGTTCTGGGTGCACGGCAGATTTTTTTCCTCCTCTATAACTTCATGGTGAAAGACTCTCCTTTTCTCTTTCTCTCTCTCTTTTCACACCAATGCTAGACGACTCCTCTGTCGCTCTCGCCGTCTTTCCTTCCGTTCCTCTCACTCTCCATTGGTCGACTTCAGCCTCTGTCGTCGGAGGACACCTGCTTCAGTACCTACTCTAGCCAGTCAGACAGTCAGTACGGCTCGCCGCCGCGTGGCTGGTCGGAGGAGATGGATGAGTACGGCCACACGCTGTACGTCAGCGACTATACAAACGAGAAGGTACCGGCTGCACAGGGCTGATCCTCCGCCTCTTTACTGCGGGGATTTCTGGCCATGCATGGGCTTTAGTTATAACAGCACAGCATGACGGTGATTACCAGCACCAGAGAAAAGATGAAAATATTCCTCATTATCTGGAAATTATTTCAAGCACATACAGATTCCCACAGCATAGGTCCAAATTTAAAACCGCTTTACAAAGTTACATCTCATGTTTGTCAGTAGGTTTGTTATCAATTGAGATGTCGGGATTCCATAACGAGTCTGGGGTTTCTCTTGTCTGTCCGCGTGTGTGTCACCAGTGGTTAAAACACGTTGATGAGCAGGGTCGGCCTTATTACTACAGTGCAGACGGCTCCAGGTCAGAGTGGGAGCTGCCAAAGGTAAGAATCTGTAGGAATCCTCCCTCTTCATTCAATGGTAAAGGGAATCAGTCAAAATCCCTTGTATGAATAACACTAATTAAATAAAACTGCATCTCTGTCAGCGGCTGTTCTCGTGTTTATTTATCCACTTTTGTGACAGTGATTCATTGGATGAAATTTCAGACATAACAAGGCACAAACTGATGAGAAATATTTTTAAACACAGTTTCCTTTGCTAAAGTTAAAAGTCACTGATGCCGTATGATTCTAATCACCTCCCTCCAGTACAACCTCTCTCCTCCTCAGCCATCAGGAGATGCTACTAAAAGTCGCAGCCTGGACAGGAAACACATGGAGCCCATCGTCCTGACCAAATGGAGACACAGCTCGCACGTCCAAGAGCCTAACGAAAAGGTGTGACACGCAAAACTGCAAAGTACAGACCTGTCAGTTGTGAATAATAATACCTATAGTGTATGAACTCAAACATTTACCTTCCAGCTCTTTTCTGTTCATTGCAAAGATGTTTTGAAGTCAACAGTTTCAGTTGTAGACTTGTTGCATTGCAGCGGCTGTTAAAAACCAGACGTTTCCGCGCAGTCTCTGCCCGTCTCCACCCGTACAAACACAAAGTCAGTAGTCTGTCTCACCGACCAATCAGTGCCCTGTCCCTTCATCCCAGCTGCCAATCAGCTTGCATGAAGATAATCCGGATAATCAGAAAACAGAAGCAGTAATAATTACTCTCCCATTTTCATGTCAATTTTTTTTCTTGCATGATTACCTGAGTTGATCGAGTCTGTTCATTTAAAAACTTTGCTTAGAAATTGGACCTTCAATCACAAACCTGGTTCATTACATTTTTTTAAGAGATAACAGCAGCTTTCAAGCTAAACTGATGAAATATAATGTGCAGTAAAAACACAGAGTTTCTGCAGGGTCTTAAAAAGTTTAAAATTCACTAATATCATTTTCGGTCCTTAAAACAATCTTTTGTTTGCGTAGTTTATAAAGTTCTTTCTCAACGATACAGATGTTAGCACCATGTAAAAAAACTACAAACAAATTCCGTCATATCTGTTTTACTTGACACAGATCTTCAGTTATTTTGGTCTTAGAAATGTCTTTAAACACTTAACTACGGCTGCTCGTGGGGTTTCTATCGAAACAATAACAGAAGTTTGATGACGTCGAGAAAGCAGCCAGGAATCATGGGAGCTGTCTTCACTACCATTGCGGATGAAAATCTACTCGACACAACTCTGTCTCAAATTATGTTATGTCATATTATGGATGAGGTTTTGCATTAAAGCTTTATTCACGTTACGTAGAAAGCAGCAATAAATAATCAGGATGAATTACGAGTGAGCGAAACAAACAGTGGATGGAAAAAGCAAAGACAGACGAAGCCACATGTGAAGCAGATGCGACGCATAGGTCCAGTTGTTATTACACTTTATGATGAAGGACTGTTGTTTAGATGTAACTTACTGAAACCTGCAGAAACCCTGAAGTAAATTAGTTTATAGGTGCATGAGATTTCTGACAAATACTGTTCCTGTATCCACATCTAATTAATAATCCATGTGTGCCTCCTGGACATCACTCCGGTACTTGACACACTCGGCAGCTTCATAATCTCACTGTTAATTGCAATCACACTGTTTGAGCTGTCTGTGTCTTCTTACCCTCCCATCATTTTCTCATTAACACTCTGTTATTAGCCCATGTGACAGTTTGTTTTTTTCATCCCTGTCTCCTCACTAGGACGCTCCTCTGGGCCCTGTGCCCCCCTCTCCTGATTCTGACTCCTGCCCTTCGTCTCCCAAGTCCCCCACCTCTGTTAGTACTCACCCCTAACCTCACATCCTCGCCTCACCCACCAGGCTCTGTCCTTCGGGGGGGGGGGGAGGGTTTAACGTGCTCCAGCTTGCTGCAGGGTTTCGACACCAGTCTGGATAATGTGGAAATAATTCGAGAAAAGTTGAATGTGAAGGAATTTGAACTTGAGTCTTTGTAGAAACTCAGATTTTTGGTGAAATTGCATTTTGCATGAGTTTGTTGAAATCACACAGGTGCTTTATGATTTCAAGAGATATTGAAATCATTGTGCGGGTTCCTGTTTGGCTTTATCATCCATGTTTCCCTAGAATCTGCTTCTTAGTCTGAAAGAGCAAAAGATCGCTGGCTAAATGCAGCTTGGCCAAGACACATTTTCTTTTATTCTAGTCTCATGTCTCTGTTCACTCTCTAATGTTCAGTCTCTTTCTTTTCCTGTTCGAGCGCAGGGATCGCAGTCAGCTGTGATCGCTCTGGTGGTGGGCTGTTTTGCGGTGGTGGTGTTTTTACACTGGTGTGACACCTGCTCATTATTAACCAATATTAAGCTTTGACGGCAGCTTTGTCCTCCGTGTTCCTGCTGTGGTTTTCAATCATGATCTGAGCAGCTGATGTGTTATATTTTTTTCCACAGTGCTCTAATGTTTGTTTTTCTCCCCAGCCGTCTGAAAAGTGTGGGGTCCTGAATGTGACAAAGATCACTGAGCACGGCAAGAAAGTACGGTGAGCGGCTCCGACTTAAATGTATTCCAATCTTATTTAAACCCTGTGTCTAATAAACATAAGTTTTTGCTATTGCCAGGAAACTGCACATAATTACTTCCTACAAAAACTTTTGCGACCTTTCTATCGCAGGAAGAACTGGACGTCCTCCTGGACGGTCCTGCAAGGATCCACTCTGCTGTTTGCTAAAGGACAAGGAGGTGGAAGCAGTTGGGTGAGCGACAGAAACATTTTCTCTTTCAAAAAAAAAAAAGTTCCTCATCACGTCAGTCATTCTGTGATGTAACGTACAGTTCAAACAATAGAGAAGTGTTCCTGAGCATTCGGGGACACTGAAAAGAGGTCGTCTCTCTTTTATGTTGAGCTCAATCCGCTGTGTGTTGACTGTGTAAAGATGGCTGACGTGACGGCTCCTCAAAAGTGAAGCCAAAGTGTCTCAACCGCACCACTGTCCAGATTCAAATGACATCATCAGAGGAAGATGGCAGAGTTTGTATCAGGGATATTTAAACGCACATTTGACTCTCCTCTCTCTCTCTCTCTCCAGTTCGGAGGCAATCAGTCCAAACCTGAGTTCACTGTGGATCTGAGGGGCGGCTCGGTGGAATGGGCGTCCAAGGACAAATCCAGCAAGAAGAACGTGATAGAGGTGGGACAGAGCTCACATCCAGTTTATGTTCGCTTTTGATCTTTTCCTTTGTGTTGAATCAGTTTGTTTGATTTTTCTTTTCTTCTTTTAAAACAAGCTGAAAGGTCTGAAATACAAATGATCTTTCTAGTGCAGTTTCAGAAATCCATCGGAGGCTATATTTCTGCTTTAGCTCTCTTTCCTCTTTTCAAGCTGACTTCAACAACACAACCAAATAACCATAGTTTGGCAGTAAACATGTAAAAATGACTACACAAACTCACACACATGGAGAACACATGAAGGAGTAAACAATAAAAGAACAATTAAGAGCACTTCATAAGTTTAACACTTAACAAGCAGAATCTTTTGTGCGTCTCTCCTGGTTGCAGCTGAGGACTCGGCAGGGAACAGATCTGCTGGTCCAGTCAGACACTGACACCATCGTCAACGACTGGTACCGAGCGCTGCAGGAGACCATCAGCACCCATGTGAGTACGAACGCTCTCACTCGCTCTTCTGAAATCTCTGTCAGTTAGTTTTAGTTCAGGAAACGAAGGTCAGCAACTCGAGCATCTGTTGACAGCACGAAAAACCAAGTCCTCGCTCGAAGTAGCAGTTGCAGGGTTGGAGAGTGTAGAGAGGAGCAGCCTGTCGAGAGGGGGAGTGGAACAGGCTTTATCACATTTTACTAAATGCTGTCGGCATGTTTGCTTTCTTAATGAAAGCACATATTTTTAAAACAGATGTCCATGAAGTCAGCTGCGTCTTCGACTGAATATCAGCTGCTCATTTTATCTGCTGGGGAACATTGAGAAGATGAACAGTCGAGCGTTAAATACAGAATGTTATTCAAATGAGTGATGTTTGGTGAGAAGTGATATCTGTTGAATAAATAAATTATAATTCATCTTTACCAATGTTTTTATCAGCATTTATTTGTCCTTTGGTTTGTTTTTTTTTGCAGGTTTACGCAAAAACGAACGAACCAATTTAATGACATTTAGTGGAGCAGTGCGTCATGATTAGAAGAGGAATTTACTGGATCAAATTCAACAACTTTCTGTGTGTGTGTGTGTGTGTCTCTCTCTCTCTCTCTCTCTCTCTCTCTCTCTCTCTCTCAGGCCTGGGAGTCTGATGAGGCCATTGAAGAGGACATGCCTGAGTCTCCTGGTTTTGAGAAAGGAGACCGGGACAAAGAACAGAGAGATTCAAAGAAAGGCAGAGGTCTGTTTAATGTTGACTGATGTTTAACGGATATGTAAGCACATACTTAAAGAAAGTAAAGTTTGACATTACAGTTGGTAGTAAGTCATAACGAGTGAAAGATTTACGTGTTGAATGAACAGGGTACCAGAGAACAGGGTATAATGTAGATATCGAAGACTGAGTAGTATAAAAGTACAAAAACAACCCAGTGAATCACGTGTGTTTGGCTCAGTGTGTCGACCGCCCCATAAAACAACTGCTTATCCGTTTCATTCCTTTAAAACATCGAGCGGTCGTCATGGCGATCAGCGTGCAGAGACGAGTGGTGGTCAACACTGTGCTTTCTCATCTCTCCTCAGCGGCCATGAAGAACTCCACCAGCGTGGATTCCCCTGAGAGCAAGAAGACCAGACACAAGCTGAAGAAGTTACTCTCGCGACGTCCGACCCTGCAGGCCGTCAGAGACAAGGGATACATTGAAGGTGACACACACACACACACACACACACACACACACACACACACACACACACACACACAGACCTCTCACCCGAACAATCAGAATTATGTGTGAGCAGGTTTTCATTGTGTTCAGGCAGTGAAGCGCAAAGCCTTTCAAAGTGTTGACACTCTCACAAACTACCGTCCGAGGACTTTGAACAGTTTCATGACTCTCTTATTTTTGTTGTGTCTTCAGATCAGGTGTTTGGCTGCAGTTTGGCCATTTTGTGTCACAGGGAGAACAGCACGGTGCCGAGCTTTGTGAAGATGTGTATCGACCATGTGGAGAACAGCGGTGGGTTTGCACATTTATCACTGTACCTCATCTGTATTTAGAGGAAGTAGTTTCTTTTAACAAACATTTAGTTTACTGGCACTTGAGGTCAGATAATCCGTCACCTGACAACAAGTATAACTTGTTTTAGTGGAATCATGAAAACAGTGTTTTCCTCCCATCATGCCCTGCAGGTCTGTGTGTGGACGGGCTGTACAGAGTGAGTGGAAACCTGGCTGTCATACAGAAACTACGCTTTCTTGTCAATCACGGTGGGTCGCTGCTTCTCTTCTTTCTTTAAAAGTAAATAATAATGAGATTGATGTGAGAAGACTTCGGTAGTTTTCTCTTGTTGTGTAACAGTTGTCATCGTGTGAACTTCTTTGACTGAAGAGTGTGTTTGTGTCCAGATGAGAAGGTGAACCTGGCAGACAGGAAGTGGGAGGATATCCATGTGACCACTGGAGCTTTAAAGATGTACTTCAGAGAGCTGCCGGAGCCTCTCTTCACCTACTCTCTCTTCAATGACTTTGTCAGCTCCATCAGTACGTCCTGTGCCTCTGACTTTATTTATTTATGGATTCACTCTATGTGAACACTCTGTGTTAAGAAGTGTGTTTTTAGAAGGAACATTTGCTGCTGCCAAATCACAAACCAGCATCGGATTGAAATTCAGTTCAATAAGCATTTTGTTCTCCAGGATCTTCTTTATAAATTCAAACTAAATACTGGGAGATATTAAATGGAAACTTTGCTGATTTTCAATATCAATAGTATAAGTTTCATTTCTCTGCTGCTGCTGCACCCAGATCTCCCTGTTTAACAAAATCTGCCTGGTGACTTGGAGGACTTCCAATTCAATAAACTGAGCCACAGTTTATTTTTTATTTTTTGTTTGGCCCAAAACTTTGTGTCCATATTCTTCAGTTTGAAATTGAGACAACACACTTATTTAAAACTTCCGGATTATTTCCAGCCTTTAGCTGCTGACTTTAACGCTCAGGATCCTGGACTGGAAACCAATAAATAAAACCCGCCAACTGTTTCTTCCACTTGAAAACAATCCAACTCGACACCAAAGCAACTAAAAGTTTCTTTTTAACAAGCAAAGTGCGGCCAAAGAATGTTTTCTTACTTTACATGGACACAAATCCTCCACTTATATTTCTAAACCCAGGTGTAGGTGCATTGTGGGTGTTGAAGTTTTTCTACCTTTTGGGTTGAATGAAACACCTCAGTATTTTTTCTCAGTTTCCTCTGGTCATGTTGCAGCGAGTTCTATAACCTGTAGCACTGTGGTTCATTTCACTGAATGCTCAAAGATTGTTGGTGCACTGTAAATGTAAAATGCACTTGATGGCTCAGGTCGTTCACTCAGACTTTTTATATATTTTGTTTTTTGTGCTGCAGAGATTTCAGACCAAAAGCAGAGAGTTCACTCCATCAAAGATCTGGTCAGACAGCTGCCCAAGCCCAACCACGACACCATGCAGGCCCTCTTCAAACACCTCAGGACGTAAGAGAAGCACAATCATATTTATTTTACCACAGGTGTGGTCTGTGTGTCCTCAAAGGCTTTTTAATGGAAAGAAAACTGAAAAATTCTAGTTTTCCACGTTACCAACGTAAAGAGAATGAAATATTCCATCTTCTCTCCAGGGTGATCGACCACGGTGAAGAAAACCGAATGACCACCCAGAGCGTGGCCATCGTGTTCGGACCCACGCTGCTGCGACCTGAAATTGAGACCTGGAACATGGCTGTCCACATGGTCTACCAGAACCAGATCGTGGAGCTGATACTGATGGAGTATGAGAACATTTTTGGAAGGTAGACAGAAAGAAGATGCCAGAGGACAAAGCCTATGTATACATTTGTCTCTCCCAATGCAGAGCTCCTCCCAGCACAGCCCGGCTCTGCCCGGCCCGGGGGTGAGGGGCGGCGGCTTAATCTTCATCTCAAAACCAACCTGCGCTCACTGGCTTCTCCGATCTTCCAAAAAAACAAAAAAAAAGAAGCCAAAGCCAACGCAAACATCTCATAAACCCAAATAAAGATGTAACTAACTAGCGACCAAAAAAAGTTTTGCACTTTTTTCAGCATCACCTTTTCTCCTGTAGCTGCAGAGGCGACGTCCTCCTGTCCCGACACTGGATTCTTAAAAGTAACGACACGCGGGTCAAACACGCCTCTACTACTGCACAGACTGACTGAGCAACAACGAGCCACATTCGTAACACGGGAGGTGTCAGAGTTGGTTTATGACGCTGTTTGTATCGTACTGTAAAACCCATTTGTTGACCCATCACTCCTGAGGAAACGACAGAATAAACCAAACTGCTCTTTATCCTCTGCTCCACTTTCCATGTTTTAACACTAAGAGGTGAAAGACGTTGGAGCTTGACCAAGGAGAAGAAGGGATATGAGGGCTTTTTTTTATTTTTTACTTTAAAGAACACTTTTGTCTCTTTCTGTGTCGATCTCGTTCTGTTTTTTAATTTGAAATGCTGTGTTCTCCTCCCTCCTCTTTCTCTCCCTTTTCCTGGACCGGGGTCCTCAGAACACGTAAGAGGTTATCACAACTCTCTGTATTATATCTGCATGCCACCTTCAACATTCAGCTTGTAGAACAAATCATCTCGCAGCGCTCAGACCATCGACTTGAAAACAAAACAACGGTACTCAGCTGTTGCTTTCCTCGTCCATCTGACATGAAATGTTGAGGCTCGCGGCCGTTAACATGACTCCATGGATACATTTGTACAGTGTATATGTGTGTGCATGTGGATGGGGCGGGTGGGTGGGTGGATGAATGGATTTACTGATGATATATTGTATAAAATAGTAAATATAAGTACATTTGCCTGGAGTGTTAAAGAGAAGAGGGAGAGGGAGAAATCACTGCCGAGGAGTAAAGTGATGAAGTGGGGATGTGGAGGTTTACCTGTGAATCAGGTAGATGGAAGATTGTGAATGTAACTTTGCAAAGAAAATGATGTGTTGGCTTTATCAAACTGAAATAAAGGCCTGGAATATATAAGAAGGGCTTTGTGTTGTTGTGTTTCTGTGCTTATTACTCTGGCCTGGATACGGTTTTTAAGTTATTTATTGGGGAAAACCTCATAATAAAGTCAAAGCAATGAGCCACAAGTCAACATTGATCATAAAACCTGAGATGAGAAAGAATTTGAACTCTCCATTTTAAACGACACATTTCTCATCCCCCCGTCAAGTCTGTATGAGTGATTTCTAATTAAATCTGATGCTTTGGATATTGACTTTGTGTCTCATACTTTTTACTGTCAAACATTTGTTCAACCAATACCTCATTTGACTTTACTAAACTTTAGCTTGTTTCTGTTTCTCTGTCAGGCTTTTTTAGGTTTTAATTTAATTCTAATCTACAGTCGTTAATGAATACACCACAGAAACGTTACTGTTATCTCTGAATATAAATTAATGAAGTATGTGTAAAGCAGCAGCAGCAGCAGAAACTATACATTTGACATTTCAGTGGCGTTTCTATCTGACCACTGACACAAACTTGATTTTTCATCAACGTCTAATGAATCCAACCAGCAGGATGGGGAACGGGACGTGGATATTAACTGGAGCTAAACTGACATCGATTTTTAATCAGGATGTATTTTAAGCCTGTTGACGTAGGAAAAATCAAGAAACAGAGAAATGCAGATTAATAATAATAATAATAACAACTATTTGTATAGAACTTACCTAAACAAGGTTATGAGTATCAAGTATTTTGGGTACCTGGGTAACACCTGGCTAACACCAAGCTTACAACTGGCTAACACCTGGGTAACACCTGGCTAACATCTGGCTAACACCAAGCTAACACCTGGGTAACACTAACAACTGGCGGGAAGCCTGTCAGTCCGCTCCCGCTCGCTGATGCACCTGTGTCCGCCCTGGACGAGCCTCCGGTCGGGAGCCTCTCCTTTGAGTCTCGTGGATATTTTGCGTTTCTTTAAAAACTTAATAACAAACACGAGAGGAGCAGGAGCCGAGTTCTCGGAGCAGAAACAGACGCGGAGATGAACAGCGCCGGGGATTAGCATTCATGCTAGCGTTAGCGGTCGCGCTAGCAGGGTTAGCAGGGTTAGCAGTGTCCCGTCTTCTCCTCCGGGATCTCACCGGGACGTCCCGGACAGCCGAGCCTCACTGCGGTGACCTTCATCGGGCTCCAGGTGAGTCTTTTCACCGGTAAAATTAAAAATACAGCGGCTCTTGGTTGTGAAGCAGAGAACCATGTTGCATGTAATAATCAAACACAGTTCATTTAACCATGAAACCAGAAACTGCTTCTGTCTCATGACCTCCTTCCACCTTCATCCGTCCCGGAGTAAAACCTCTTTACATACAGTCTATGAGTAAAACACAGTTTTCTTGCAGGTTCCTCTCACTCTTCTTTTTATAAGTTTCTGTCCTGTCCTCATTTAAATTGCCCCAGTTACAGAGTTGCACCTCAGGAATGAGGTCAACACTTCCTCCGGTGCTTTAACCTGAATAAAATCCCCTGATAGTAGTTTAATCCAGGTGAGGTGTTAATGAGATGATGCACACATGCGTGGCTGTACACACTCAAAAAACAAAAAGAGTTTTAATGGAAATCCTATGATGCTGTTTGGCTTCAAATCAATTATGTTCATTATGGGTTATTCTAATGATGTAATGATGAAACCAACCAACAGCCAACTTCACAAAGATTTTCAATTTCCACTTCACTTTAAAGGGAGAAAAAGAGCAAATGTCATTTCAGAAAAATAAATCGGTAAATATTTGGCTGTTTGGAGTTTTCACTGAAGAGACAGATTGAATTCCACAGATTTTAAACCAGAGTGAAGAGAAAAATATTGCCACAGGGAATCAATAACATCTTTTGTAAGTTGAAGACTCAGCCGCTGATGAGCGGAGCGGAGAACTTCATGCTCCATCGTCGGTCTGAGGGTGTGAACCTTCACCTCACCGCACACACTCTGGATGCCAATCCGCTAAAATTTCAAATTCAACACCATTTCTTAGAAATGAGGTGAATATCTTCTGATCGGTGGCTTCTGCGGTCGTCGTTGGTCCTCCACAGAGAGGCTGTGGCGGAGGCGCCCCAGGCTCAGTGTCAGGCTCTGATCATTAGGTCCTGTCCAGCCAGAGGAGCCTTTCCTCCCTCAGCATCAACTCCTCTGCAGCCTCAGCTCTTTGTGACTCCTGCTGATAAGGCAGCGCTAATATCTCACAGCCTGAGCTTCAGAAAACTGGAATCCAGCCTTAAAATGCCCATATTGTGCTTTTCAGGGTTTCTTTACTTTAGTGTGTCATTGCTCATTTGTGCATGTCAAAGGTCTTAAAATGTATGAAGGCCTAAGTCTGCAGAAAGCAGAGTCGTTCTCTCTCCGAGAAGAGGTGGAAACACTTCATTTGTTTTGTCTTCTGGGACAGAATCAAGGCTGAAGTTTTTACAGCTGAAGTACACAGCATAAAGTAAAAGGTTATTTTTGTGGAGTCATCTCTGTGTCACAGTGACGTCTTGTTCCTTCAACCAACAAACTAAAGCCCTAAAATACAAATTAAAATAATGCAAAACTGAGAAAAACATTGAAGAGCCAGTGTGTCTTTGCTGCTTGATAAATTACTTATATGAATGATAAATCATTAATAACACAGATTCCATAAGACATTTAAAGCAACTACTTATTTTCTTGCAAATTATATTTTGATTTGTTTCTGTTAAAGCTATTAAATTGTGGCATCACTAGAACGTCTTGTCAATTTTGGATGCACAACAAATACCATCATCTCCAGGCAACAGGAGCTGAACTCGGAGCTTCAGAAAAAAAGTGTAGCAGGCAAGAAGAATCCAAAAACAAGAACTCCGTCCAGCTTCGCATCATTCTGTGTTCCTTCCTGCCAGCCTGTTCCTGACCTTCAACCTGCTCCTCATATTGTATATTTACACATGTACTGTGTGTTTATATTAGAAGCTGATGAGGAGATTGGGAACAGAAGAACAAAGTGTCAGGGTCTGAAATGACAGGAGAGTTTGGGATATTGTAAAGTCAGTCGTACCTCTACGTCCAATTAAGTTGAACTAATTGGTTGAATGTTTTCTTCATAAGACATCCAACTCTGTGTTACATAAATTAATCAATTAATATTTCCACATTCATTTATCTTTCATTTACCAGCTGAATGATAAATGTCCTGCGGGGATGAGGAGACGTCACCGGCCGAGGACAGACGGAAAGACGAGACGCTAATATCAGCCCTGAATGTGTGTTTGACTGTTTGACCACCTCTGAGGATCTCCCCTTCCATCTTCACATGCTAATCCAAGCAGGACCTCCTGTGTGACGACCACTTGTGCATGGTAATTACATTCTCCTTTGCAATTTAAACACAAACACACACTCACTTGATCTGCCGCCAGGGTTCGTCTCTGACTCCTGCTCGCAGCTCTGCATGATGATTACGTTCCCCGCAGACATTTATGTTGGCAACGCCGGCACACCTCTCCGTCCGTAACACAGACTGAATGCCAGACGAGCCAGGTGGACTCAGCGTGTCCAAGTGTTGTGCTCTTTACCCTGAGGCTAAAGAGAAACCTCCCTTCCACCAAACACGCCCTGGTTCTTGGACTGGTTCCGTTCAGGATTCTTGGATCCTCGGTGCTATCTTGTGAACCAGTTTGAGCAATGACCGGGCTCCCAATTGCTCATCTGGACGTCCCTTCAAATCCACAAACCCTCGAATGAAGGAAGACACCATCAAACCCCTCCTGTTGAAAACCAGTGACTGAGCAGCTGAAGCTTGTTGGATTGAAAAGAGGCACCAACTAATCAGGAAGATAGAATCTGCTGAGAACCTTCTCAGAACACTGTCCTGAATTTCTTCTCTTTTATCGCAGGCAGGGCCGAACAGTCGCTTCTTATCACAGACTGAGCTTAAAAATATATTCCTACACAAGCTTCCTCCCTGAACCCGCTCTCCTCCAGCACAAAGCAACATCTGCTGCTGTTTTCAAAAGTAAGTAATGAGGTTGCATTTTTTTTATGTAGGAAATGTGGAAAATGCAACCTCATGACTTCTTTTTTGCACATATGAATGTTATTTTCTTTATGGGACTGAGTAGAACGGACTTTTTAAATTGATGAACTCAGGTTATTGTATGAACTTTATAGGAATGTAGGAATAATTTAGTTTGTATTGATATTTCTTGGGGTTGTGTTGTGCTCACCTTCCAGTTTTTTTTTTGTGTGTTCTGCAAGCCAGGTGGGACGTGTGAATATTTAATTTTATGCAACACAAGCAAGCGTTATGTGTCAATTTCTTTATGATATATATTTTTTATAATATACAACTTAAAATGAATTCTTGACCATAGAGTCCAAGTCTTTCAGTCTGTCTTGTGTCGCTGTCTGCACATGAGCGGTGTCGCTGCTAAATGGATGAAAACAGAATCAAACATGCACTGAATCAAGAATTGATCTCCTTCTTACTGATTAATTGCCTTGTTGGAATTCCCTCACCACTTGGAGCAGAGCCGTCAGCGCGTTCTTGACATTTTGGTTTGACGGCTGCCGGCAGAGACGCGATGTAACCAAGTTAACGAGATTTATCCAGAAAGGCCAACGTTCTGATCCACGGCGACGCTGTGACATTTCTGACGCTGCAGATTTAATCGATAAGTGACCAGACCGTCCCCACGGACTGAGCACTAAAAGAAAAACACTGAAGGAAAAGTGAAACTGTTACTGAACATGTCAAACAGACTGAGTTGAACGTTTGTGGATCAATACATCAGTAATGGAAACGATCGGCTTCTTCCCTGTTGATCGAGACATTTACGGACCTTGTGATTTTTCCACACTCTTTTAATATATTGCTTTCTTACAGATACATACAACTTGAAATGATGTTCAAATAATATATAATCCAAATATAAAGGTTGAAAGAAAGTCTTTAAATGAATAAGCATTGAAATGACATGTTGCATAATTAAGAATGCGGCAGATTGTTTTGTTTTGCAGG